TGGTAGGAACTGGGGCATTTAGCTGGGTAGCGGGGAGACGGGTGACTCCTGGCACAGATCATACTCCCCCCTCCTCTGTGATCTCTTATTTGCTGCCCTCTCCCCCCAGATTGCAAGAGACTTTGACGCTGTTACTGCATGCTCTGTGTGACTAATAACTTCTTACCCTGGCTGTTTCTTTATTTTGTAAGAGGTTTGTGTGAGGACCCATGGCTTCCTCTGATCCTCCAGGGAAACCCAGGGACAAATGGATGTTCATATCTCGCTTAGAGGTGGTTTGTTTTAGAGGCAGGCATCCTTATGCCCATGGGGTCCAGACTCCCTGAGTTCAAATCCTCCTCTACATTTAATTTGTGACTTCCATATGCGGTGTTTTGGTTTTCTATCACTGAAATGGGGTTAATAATGTGTCAGTGCCAAATGTTGTTGGGTCAAATTAGCCTAATACAGTCAAACTGCTTTAAAATATGCTTACCTGATGGAGAGTAATCGTTGAAGAAGAGTCAGCTGTTTTTATTGCTCAGGTGCTTCCCTGTCTCTAGCAAGTTATTCCTAAGTGATTAGCGATCTGGCCAGGTCTCTCTTTGCTCTAAGTCTTGAGAGAGAGAGAACCTTCTCATCATTTGCCAGCCCTCTCTTTGATTAATCTTTTAGTAACTTGCAGCTTGGACGCATTGCAAGTGTAACCCCTGTCTTCACTGTGCGTGTTCTCGCTTTCTCCAAACTGTCACCCCAACCTTCCTCCTCTGAAGTGGGAGCTCCATCCCGGCCAAAGCTTACCTCCTTATGGGAAATTGGTGAAAAGGAGTTTTAAAATTGATAAAGCTTCAGAATAACCTTGGGAAGAGTTGCCCAGCACTTCAGAGTATGTATATTGTACAATAGATTGGTCGTGCATCAAATGTCACTGATTTCAGGCCCTAGCCTGGACACATGTGCTAACGTGACTCAGCTTCTGACCCCTGAGGGCTAAATTGTCAACTCTGCGAGGTGGGAAGTGTTGGTGAAGAGAAGCTGACTTGACTTTACTGGACAAACCACAGTGGTAGGGCCTGGACAAAACCTCACCCATCTTGGGAAGTTGAGCTACCTGACCCTGAATGTTCTTTGCCAATGCCTCAAAAGTCAGGACAATTTTGAATCTAAGATTAGGAGAAAGAATCATAGCTTTCCCATTTTAATCTGCACCTATTAAAAATTTCCCAAACAGGAGCAGTGCTTTTGGTTTATTGGTTGATGTCAGGGAGGTTAAGGAACATGTTCAGGGTCTGCCAGCTTGTGTGCTACAGTTTTCCCCACCTGTCATGTGGCAGGGGAGCTTCATCTCTTCCCTGGCAGAATTTTGTACTTTATTTTTAGATGGAGAGAGATTAATGGAAAATTGGGCAAAGGCCTTGTGTAATTTTCATTTTGCTGTGGCCAGTCTTTGCCCATCATGCCCCTTCTACATACTGGGGTGTGTCCTCTGCCCTCCTGGTCCCCCTTCCTCAGGGTTTCCGAAGCTCTCTCTCTTTTTTTTTTTTTTTTTTTTTACCTTTCCCAGCTGCCCTGTTGGCATAGGGCGATGGTTCTAGATGGAGGTTTATTATGTGCATATTTTTAAGTCCAGAGACAAAACATAGTTTTGGAAGGCATATGGAGGGGCCAGAGGAGCTTGGCTAAAGAAACCAAGTTCTCCCTTTACTCAGGACCCCTTGCTTTTTTTATTAACACAAATTGTCCTAAGACAAGGTAGATGTACACTTCAAAGGCCAGGGTTTAGATTATCAGGTTTGGGAGAAACTGTCATCTGCTATTCAAGTGTTTGGCCAGCAGGAGGCAATAACATGTAAATTAAGATGCCCTTAGCTGTCTGGCAGCAAGGAATCACCCATGCATCCCTTTCAAGTCTGGGGAAATGCCCTCAGCTAATTCCAGATGATTCAGCCCTGCTGACATGCTGGAATGGGCTTCCAGCAGGGATATAACCAAGCCCATCTGCGTACATACACAGCAGAGGCAGAGTTGCAGTTGCAATAACCTACAAAGCCCACGATACTTGCTATTTGAGCCTTTGCAATGTGTGCCAACCTCTTCTGGAGTCTAGAGTGCTCCCACCTAGTTTGGTGGTCAGCTTATTCTCTGTACAAGTTGAAGTCACCGGAGATGCTCTTTTACTATGGGGCACAGCAGGGTCTGTGCTGTATTCTCTGTTCTGGATCATGGGGGCTTGGCCTATTTTGCCCCCTCAGTTTTGTGGCATTGGTGGGGGTGTAAGTTCTGGAGGTGTACAGGAGTGTCATTGTGGAGCGAGCAGAGGTTTCTGAGAGTGGTCTAGAAGAAGGGCAGAGCTGCACCAGGAAGGAGTCCCCAGGCAGCGGTAGGGGGTGAGGTAGGGCTAGAAAGAACCTGTTCGGAGAGTAGAGACCCGCTGTAAGAGGAGGGATCCTATCGAGGGAAGACCACCTGTGAAGAAGGACAAGACCACCTGGACAAGACATCTGGCAGTGACAGCTGCTAAGTTGGGACACCTAGTGCTTTTTATTATAGGTTGGAGGCTGGTCTATCCTATACCGGAATGGGGCTTTGGAGACATTGTAGGAACAATTCAAGGGGTGGATTGAGGTCTAAATTTCCCGTTAGAAATTTAGCAGAGAAGGGTCAAGGGCAAAATGCATTTGGGAAGGCTTCCTTTGATCTGCCATGTGCTCAGTGCAACATGTGTCCTATCTAGTGGCCTAGCAGGACATGTACCTGCTCTACTTTGACTAGACCCCATGGGTAGAGGGCCCTGCATGGTCCCTCCTTCACAGCTGGCAGTAGAGAGTGGCAAGGTTCCCCAGGCATCAGGAGAGGAGCAGAAAGCCATTGGAGGGCCTAAAGGAGAGGCCGTTTGTGACAGCACCTGGCTTTGTGTGGTTGGGGCTGGGGCCACAAGGGCTCAAGAGTGAAAAAGATCTGTATTTTGAAGAACTCAGTATTTCAACTAAAGTTTCCAATTTGTGAAGTTAACCTTCCTATTAAGTTTTACTAACAGGCGCCGAAACCGGTTTGGCGGTAGAGCCTCAGTCTGCGGACTGAGGGGTCCCAGGTTTGATTCTGGTCAAGGGCATATGCATTGGTTGCGGCCACATCCCCGGTGGGGGGTGTGCAAGAGGCAGCTGGTCGATGATTCTCTCTCAATTGACGTTTCTGGCTCTCCCTCTCTCTTCCTCTCTGTAAAAAATCAAATATATTTTTAAAAAGAAAAAAGAAACTAATAGGCTTTATGGGAGCTTATTCTCTGCCATCACTACTCAAGATTTAAGTAAGCCAACTCCTTCAGTACCACCACACAAACCTGGAAAGTAAGTGGGCTGATGAGCAGTGTTGAAATTCAAACCCTGTCTACTGGACAGCTCAGCTGGGCCACCCTTTCCACATGGACCCTAGACTGGGACTCGTCATTGCTGGTCCTGGCTTGTCAAGGCCAAGTTTGGGCATCTCGTTTCAGGTGTGCAGCCTCTGGGCATCTTAGGAATGTTCTCCTTGCCCCCTTCCTAAGACAGTCCGCTCCCCAGCCTGGGTGAGAAAGCAGGTCTCTGCCAGGGACAGACACAGGAGGGGTGGTGGTGGGTGTTAGGCGTTTGCACTGCTATAAGGGTGGAGTTTTCCAGTGATGTCAGTCCCAGTAGAAAGTTCGTGGGGATTGACTTATACCAAGTGAGTCTCTTAAACCACAGGGGGCGGGTGGCTTGGTGTCTGGAAGAGACTTAGGGCAGTGAGGGGAAGGGGTGAGAGGAAGGTTGGGGTAGAAAGGATGAAGGAGAGAGTGGTTTTTAATTGAGCAGAGGCCAGGGACAGGGAGACCACAGAGAGGCTGTGCTGCTGATCCCCAGAAGCCATGGCTGTTTGAGGCAATTGGAGGGTTGGGACAAGTGTCGTGGAAGTGCTCTGGGAGCAGCACTGGAGGGGAGGCGGAACCCACCCCTACTTCATAACACCAGGGCCATGCACCTGCTTAGCAGTACGCCTCCAGGGTCTAGGGTGGCCTGGAGTCACTGCCCTTCGTTCAGCTCCCAGCCAGGCAGGGCCATGTGATGGCTGGAGTCTGGGCACTTTGTGCACCTCAGCGGCCCCTGAGGTAGGAAATCCGAACAGGAGGAGGAGCTGTCCCTCCAGAGCTCTGCGGCATGAAGCCAGTTTCCTTTCTGTAGGGGACAACAGCACTTGTCACATCTGCATGGAGTCCTCACAATAACCCTCGTCTGAGGGACAGTTACCCCTGGTTCTTAGCGGAAGGTAGGTGACTTGCTAGGGCCATAACATTAGGCAGCTCCTTTGGCCATCTTAGTATCTCTGGGAGGAGAACGTGAAAGCAGGTGCACAGAGCTGGCAGATGACAAGTGCTCCTCATGAAAAGGAGTGAGCATTTCCAAGGAGGCCCGCCATAGGTCTAGGCAAAGGATGGGAAATTCGGTACAGCGGTATAGCAGCAGATTTGAAAATTACCATAAACAGTCCAGTGGTCTGATAGGGTTAACCAAGCCCATCTAGGGAGAGTGATCCTCGTGCCCACTGAGGGGGGTGATACACATGCTGGGTTGGAAATATCCACTGCATGGTTCTCAGTCCTGACCCCTTTTCCCCCACACCAAGCTCTCTGGCTGAGGGCTCAGAGCAGCACTCAAGTGGCAATAGGTCCCTCCTCCACTCTTCTGCCCCTCAGGCATATGAAGGAGGACAGGCTCTATCTACAGGCCTTCCGGGCTAGCCTTAGCAGTGTGGCTTTGGCGGTCCCTCCACTGCTTGGATGCCCTGTCTCCCAGGCTGGGCCCAGAGTGCAGTATGGCTTGGCCATGGTGGGGGAGAGGGTACCGGGTTTTAGTGTGTGCACAGTTGCTATAATGGTGACGTAGCCCCACACAGACTGTATGTGTGACAAGGCCTTCCCCTTGGCCATGGAGAAGAGTATTCTCTGCCTGAGCAGGGCCCTTAAGTTTCCCTCTCACCCCACCAGCTTCCACAGCGCGGCACCTGTACCTTCGGGGCGGCGCTGGGGTTGGCTCCATGACCAAGATCTATGGAGGACGACAGAGAAACGGTGTCATGCCCAGCCACTTCAGCAGAGGCTCTAAGAGCGTGGCCCGCAGAGTCCTCCAAGCCCTGGAGGGGCTGAAAATGGTGGAGAAGGATCAGGATGGGTAAGCAAAGGATCGGGATGGATGGGAAAGGGGGTAATGGAGGAGCCTTGGGGTCAAACCACCTATAATAAAGTTAGCAGGGGCCATCCCCACACACAGAGAGCGGCTAGGTCTCTGCACTGTCCGTACCTGACCCTCTGGTGGGCAGGGGATTCTGCAGAAAAGCAAACAGCTAACAGCCTCACTCCGACCTCTCTAACTGACTACCCTGGGCTCTAGGAAGGTAATTTAGCGACTGTCTGCTTTCATTAGCCTGCTCGTTAACTTTGCCCGATTGATTTTTCAGGGCTTTTGATCTAATGCTTGCACAAACGACACCCTGTCAGCTCCTGGGGGGCTCCCACTCCTGCCCCAAGCTCGTTAGAATGCAGCCCACTGGGGTCCTCGGTGGGAGTTGGCTGGCAGCATGTGGTCGGGTGGCCAGAGGCCTTTTAGGAAAGCTTGACTCACATCAGGAAGGCGGGGTTGAGAACCTGCGCTAACTTGGCGATTCATGACCCTTTTCTCACCACAGGGGCCGCAAATTGACACCTCAGGGACAGAGAGATCTGGACAGAATCGCAGGGCAGGTGAGGCCTGGGTGAGGGCTAGGGTTGGGTCCCTCTGTCATTGCCTGGGCGTTGTCAGATCAGGATTTCCCTGAAGGGCAATGTCCAGGCTGGTGCGGGGGTCAGGAGGCCTTCCCTAGGGGTGGCAGGAGAAAAGCATTTCTGAGTGGCTTGCTGGAGCTGAGGTAAAGGGAACCCAACCCTGTGGTGCAGTTGGGCTGCTTTCCCTGCAGGGCAACAGCCTTGCACAGATTCTGGCTTCAATGTCTCCCTACTCTTCGTGCTGAATGGGCATGAGATTGTTGAGTCCAAGTCTCATCAACCTTTTGATGCAATTCCTGTAATTATGACATGCCAGAATTCAGGTCTCTATCCTGATGACTAAGGGCTGGACACCCTGGGGCAGTCCTTTCAGCTGCAGCCAGTCTTCCTGTCTGTGGAGCAATCTGCTCCTGCCTACCTTGGTGTGGTGGTTAGGATTCCGTGATCTACAAGCAGTGAGAGCCCTCCAGGGCCTGGCATAAACCCATATTGGTTATCTTCATTCTGTGCCAGGCCTACTGGGAACCTTAGAGTGTTTAGTCACTTAACGTCAAGTGTCAGGAATGGAAGGTGTCGCCCTCTGAGAGTTGGGTGGCCTAAGAGGAGAGGAAAACTTCCAGAGCAGGGCCTGGCACAGGCATCTGTGTGCATGATGGCATTTGCAGTATTGGAATCCCATCCCAGTGCTCTTGGAGTCCCTGTTGACACTTCTATAAAATGGGGAGGTACCTGGGGTTATGAGGATTAGACAAGGAGAATGAATACATGTGAGACCACAAAGCAGGATTCCTGGTGTCCTCTGGGCTGTGGGTAACTATTACCAAGTGCCAGAACGTGGACACCAAGACTGATTTTACTCTTCCATCTTTCCCACAGGTGGCAGCTGCCAACAAGAAGCATTAGAACAAATGCTGGGTTAATAAATTGCCTCGTTCATAATCTTGGTATTGATCTCTTGATTGTCTGCTCCTCTTCCATTTGGGCCCATGAGGAAGGAGGAGCCAGGGGTGCTGGGTGGCTGTGGCTGCTACAGCCTAAAGTCAATTTTCCCAGTTCTGCCCCAAGAGCAAGGTGGCTGGGTGGGCCAGGATCTGGAAACCCTAAGAAAATGAGAAGCTGAAAGAAGATGCTGTTCAAGCAGTGGCCCCAGCTGGAGCCTGGGTTGCTGAGGTGGCACTCTGTCTCCTGCTGGAACAGTTGGGGGAGAGGGGAGGGCTGGGTTGAGATGGTTCCTTGGAAGGAAGTGGACGGGAACAACTCGAACTCCCAGTGGCTCTTCCAGCTCTGGTTGAGCAGTGTGCCTGGTTTGCACTTGCTTTCCTGGTCTGTGGGCAGGGTGGTCCTGTCTGAGCCTTCACTTTTGCATTGTGGCTACAGGCCCTGCTCTGAAATGGGCCTAGATGTTCCTGCCCTAGAGTTGTATTATAAGTGCTAAGGAGGCCGGCTGGTGCCTGCGGAGGCAGAGTACTGTCACCTGGCATAGTTTCACTGGTCCTGCATGGTGATGGGCTCTTGGTGCCAATGGGGCAGGAGCTCTGCCTGTGATTGGGCCACTGGTGTGGGTGGTAGAATCCAAGGATGCCCAAAGGAACCGCCCAGGGGCACACAGCGAGCACCATAGGAATGGGCAATCCTGGAAAAGGCCCATTACTGTTCAAGTGACCAGCCTTACCTGGTTGGGGAGAACTAAAGCGGATCTGGCTTGCACAAGGCCCCAGTCCAAGTAACAATCATACCCACTCTGGTGCCAAGCCTGAATTTCAAACAATGGAGCAGGATGCCAACTATGCCCCTAATTCTGTGCAGCTCCTGCTCTGAACCTTCCAGTCCTCATCTGTAGCGCTGCTGGTTCCCGGGGGACTCCAGGGATGGTGCTGTGGTTCAGTGTTACCCAGCTTAAGGCCAGGATATTCAAAGACCAAATCAGATTCCTACCCTCATCCCAGCTCAGTGCTGGAAACTGTTCTGAATAAACAGAACCTACCACATGCAAGGCACTCAGTAAAAAATAAGTATCATTAATGCTGCAACCCTGTGAAGAAAATGCCAAAAAGCACCCGCGGTTTGAAGAAGGGGGAAGTGAGTCACGGGTGGGGTAATTTGATATTCCATAGTTAAGGAGTGGCAAAGCCAGTCTACTAAGGTACACTGTACCTCGTAAGTGAGGGAAATGAGGCCCAATGTCTCATTCTGGCCCCAATCGCCTCTTTTGTCCACTGAGATTGAAGACATTTCCCAGAGTTGTCATGAGAACAAAATGCCAAGGATCTGGTTCCCATGCACAGCTCCAGAGATAAGGGGTGATGGAAGGTGCAGATTCCCAGACAGGCCAAGGAGGGCCAGCAGTCCCGTAGCTGCGCCTTTCCGCCACTGGAGGGCAGTCGAGGGCCTGGAAGCCGCCTCAGCCACTGATGGATGAGGAAGGAGGTGAATTTCTAGGGCTGCAGCCTGTGATTCCAGGCTTCTTCCTTAGGAGGGAGACCACAAGCAGGAGCTAAATAAAGCAATAGGGGCTGATGACCTGCTATATACACCAGGGTCCCAACAGAACACCTGGGTCGCTGGAGAAGGGTAGAGAGCCTCCTGGCCAGAAAAGAGGAACTTGCCCTGTGCTAAACACTGATATTATCTCAGCCTCACAAGATGGGGGGATTGTGCTCAGATTACAGAAGAAACAAGCTCAGACGACCGGACCAGCCCGTTGACAGAGCTGAGATTCAAACCCAGGAATGGTGACTCCTGAAGGCCATGCTATTCTGTGAGCATATAGTTGCTTTTTAAAAATATTTATGAAATACTTTAAGCAAGCAAAAACTGTACATGATAGTGTAACAAAGACTCCTAGGCCCACCACCTAGTTTAAGAAAACAAGCCCTAACTGGTTTGGCTCAATGGATAGAGCGTCAGCCAGCGGACTGAAGGGTCCCAGGTTTGATTCCTGCCAAGGGCACATGCCTGGGTTGTGGGTTCAATCCCCAGTAGGGGGCGTGCAGGGGCCAATCAATGATTCTCTCATCAATGATATTTCTATCTCCCTCTCCCGTCCTCTCTAAAATAATAAAATATACTTTAAAAAATAAAAAAAAGAAAGCATGACAAAATTTAGGCAAAGCCTTCTGTGTAATCTTCCCTGTCATGACCCCCTGGCTTTCCCCAGAGAGGCCTTCTCAGGAACTTGGTGTCACTCCCCTGCACCGTTATATCTGCACCTTGACTGCAGACCACATGTCCCTAACAGCACACAGCACTGTTTTGCCTTTTGAAGACAAGTCAACCATATCATGCTACTGTGTCTTCTCATCTTCGTGTTTATTTTCTCTCTGCTGTAGCCCTGTTGACATGTCCTGCCTTTCTCCTGCTGTGTGCTCCTCTGTCGGCTGACTGCACCACAATGTATGCACCCATTCTCCATGCCCGGGCTTATCATTTCGCTTCCCAGTTTTTGCTACCAGGAATCTCCCTGCAAGAAAAGTTTTTCGTGTGTGTGTGTGTGTGTGTGTGTGTGTGTGTGATGGTCCCCTAACTGCTCAGAAACATTTCAATTTCATATCATTCCCCCCCCCACCCTCAAACCTTATTTTCCTCCCATTTGACCTAAAATGATACTCAAAAGAACCCGCTCCACCACCACTGTGTAACACCAGACAGGGGACAGTGACAGCTTTCCCTCCCTGGGCCTCAGTCTCCCCCTCTGTAAAAGGAGGGGGGCTTGATGCTTGGGGGGAGGCTGAATGAAAGAATGCGAGAAAGAGCCCATCGTTGCCATTACTTCTTTGGGTACCAGGAACATCTCATGTCACAATACCAGAGAGATATCCTAGTCTCGGATTAAAAATGCCAAGGCTTACCCTGGCTGGTGGGCTCAGTGGCCAAAGCTTCGGCCCTCACATCAGAGAGTCATGGGTTCAATTCCCAGTCATGTTAACTGGGTTGTTGGTTTGATCCCCTGCCCCAATCAGGGTGAGTTTGGAAAGCAACTAATCGTGTCTCTCACATGCATGTATCTCCCTCCCTCCTTCCTTTCATTCTCTCTAAAGAAACCAATGGGTTTGCTCAGTGGATAGAGTGACGGCCTGCAGATCAAAGGGTCTTGGGTTCAGTTCTGGTCAAGGGCACAGTACCTTGGTTGCAGGTTCCTCCCGGGGTTGGGGGCATGCAGGAGGCAACCAATCGATGTGTTTCTCTCTGATCAATATTTCTGTCTTTCCCTCTCTCTTCCACTCTAAAAATCAATGAAAACAACACCGTCAGGTGAGGATTAACAACGACCACAAAAGGCTTAGGGAGGGAAGTCACCACTTAGTCACAGAGCCCGCTGGCTTGCCTCACTTATTCCTCATGAACATTAGCAGTAATCACCATGACTGTGCACCTACTACGTGACAGGTACTATGGTCAGTGCTGTTCATGCGCCACACCTCGCCTTTACACCCTCATTTCCAACCCCACGAAGGGAGCGTACAGAGTGTCCAACTGGGCACAGGTTTGCCCAAGGCCAGTAGGGACTAAGACTAAGAAAGCTCAGAGCCTCTGCCCTGACTGCCTGCACACAGCAGGCACCCAATGAGGAGCCAGACCCCGAATTAGCTTCTTCCCCCACCCAAGCACCCTCCTCCCAGGGGACTTGTGGCCAGCACAGGTGCAGGCAGCAGTTCCTCTCAGCTCACATCGGACACACACACTGACGGGAGCTGCCCAGCAGCGGGGCCAGTGGAGCCCATCTCCGGGAGGCTGGGCAGGAAGCGGGGTGGAGTTCGGGGCCTGCAGAGGTGGGGTCTGGTACCCCAGGACTGCGGCAAGCCAGACCAACCAACCGGCTGGGAGAAGATGCCTGGGGGTCCTGGCGTCCTGCAAGGCCCGCCGCCTGGCACCGTCCTCCTCCTCTTGATCTGTGCTGCTGGCCTGGGTATGTGGCTGACAGGCGGGCGCCTGGGAGAGGAGGGGGCACTGCGGAGGCTGGAGAGAGGGCATGGGCAGAGAGAAGGGCTTTAGGAAGGGGGCAGGGAGGGGAGCAGGAGGGGAGCTGGGACAGGCCTCTGTAGAAACTACACACGTCTATTGGCTCGACGGTTCCAAATTGGCCTAGGGTGGCTGGCTGGAGGGGGCTTAGCACTGTTAAAGGGGCACCCACCGCCTCGTGGAGGGAGGCCTGAGCCCGAGTGCCTTCCCTACCCTGTCCCCTGGGCTCAAAATGAGGAACTAGGGTTGCCCTTGACTGAGCTTCAGAGCTGGGGGCAGGAGGGGACCTTGGGGCGCACTCGGCTGGCTTCAGAGTGAAGAAAAGCTTTCCCTTTCTCTGCCTGGAGTCCCAGTCACCCCCTGCACAGGGAGCCCCTTCTCAGTGCGGGGGGAGGGGTGCCTCCTGACACCACCCTCCCTCAGCTCCGCCAGCTGTCTGTCAGGCTACGACCACCTGTTTGGCCCACGAGTTCAGAGAGGCAGCTGGTCACCCGAGGCCACGCTGGGAGCCAGGAACGGAGCCCCTGGCCCTGAGGTTGCTGCCTCTTTGCCCACGTCTTCCTTCTTGCCTCTTCCTCAACTCCCCGCTTCCCTCCCAGAAGAGGCCGAGCAGCTCTGAAAGCTGGGGTTCCCGGGGAGGGAGGAGGGAGGGGGGATTGAGCCACCAGCTCCCTCCAGCCAGCCACCCACACTGCCGAGACGCTCCCCTAACCCCCAGCCCAAGGACTACACTCAACCCCTGACCCCAGGCTGACACATGCAAGTTACAGAGAATAAGGGGCGGGCTCAGAGACACAAGACGAGGCAGAGCCAACCTGGCAGGAAGATGGCTCCTCCTACCCCCACCCTCTGCCCCCACCTGCTGCCCTGGGCCTCTGCTGTCCCTCCTGAAAAACAGCATGAGGAGATGACCTTCTTCTAAGGGTTTTTTGAAAATGACAAAAGATAGTGTCAAGTGTGGGGCTGGGCTGGGACTGGGGCACCAGGGAACCAAGTATCCACATGCAAGAGGTGGCACTGTGTCACCATCCAGGTGTCTTCCTCTCCCCCCCCCCCGGCCCCCCACAGGACGTCCTCAACACACACACACACACACACACACACCACGCAAGGTATCCCCCAGGAGGGCCCTCTCACACCCCCACACCCCCAGGAGTGCCGCAGCTGCAGAGGCCTGGGCTGGAGCCTGTGTCCCCATCCACGGTCCCCGAGCCACCCGCCTCTTTGCAGGCCCAGGAGGCCAGAGCCAGTGCACAGACCGGACCCCGCCATCGGTGAAGGTGATGGTGGGGGAGGAGGCCCGCCTCCCGTGCCTGCTCAACATCAGCCTCCTCAGCAGCCGCCCAAACATCACCTGGTGGCGAATCGTCCAAGGCAACTTCACGTGGCCCCCGCAGTTCCACGCCTGGGCCGAGAGCAACGGGGAGCTCTTGTTCCCATCGGTGAACATGAGCCACCGAGGCCTGTACAGGTGCCACATCTTGGAAAACGGCGTTGAGTGGCACTCCTATGGCACCTACCTCCACGTGTTTAGTAAGTAGTGGCCGGGCACTCGGGGCCTCCCCTCTGGGAAGTGGGAGGGAGCCGGTGGGTGCCTGTATCTCGGGCATCCTTGCTCCCGGCTCCCACACACTTACCCATTTCTCACCTGTGGAGTGGGGGCTTCCGAGCGGGCGGGGCCTTGCTAGGGGCAGGGCCTGGGGGGCAGGGCTCTGAGCAGCACCCCCTCCTCACAGAGCCGGTCCCCAGAGCCTTCCTGGACATGGGGGAGGACACCAAGAACAACATCATCACGGCGGAGGGCATCATCCTGCTCTTCTGCGCCGTGGTGCCCGGGACGCTGCTGCTGTTCAGGGTGAGCCGCCGGGGCCCAGCCCCTTGGGAGTCGGAGGGTCCCCACCCAAAACCCGGGAGAATGACAGCCCCGCCACACAGGGGCAGGGTGGTACCCAGATGAGCACAGTGACGACGACGACGACGACAACGACGACGACGACGACGGGAGTCTACATGGTGCCGGGGGGCGCTGCCCTTGCTCCCCTCGGCTGGCTGTCATCATTGCCCTTGCCTAGGGATGTTCTCACTCTACCCCCTCCCCCCTCCCCGCTCAGGGTGCTTTACTCTCCAGACACAGCAGCCAAGGCCAGGGAAGATGGGGGCTGGGGATCCTCCTGGTGTCTGTGGCTGCAGTTTCTTTCTTTCTTTTTTCTTTTTCCTTAAATATATTTTATTGATTTTTTACAGAGAGGAAGAGAGAGAGGGATAGAGAGTTAGAAACATCCATGAGACAGAATCACCAATCAGCTGCCTCTCGCACACCCCCTACTGGGGATGTGCCCGCAGCCAAGGTACATGCCCTTGGCCGGAATTGAACCTGCGACCTTTCAGTCTGCAGGCCGATGCTCTATCCACTGAGCCAAACCGGTTTCGGCATGTGGCTGCAGTTTCTTTAGGCCACAGGGCAACCATCGCTCTTCACCACGGGTGCTGCTATTCACGGAGAGCAACTGGGCCGCGGAGACAGCCAGAAGCACACTGGCTTGGGCCACTTACCCAACAGGTGGCTTTGAGCAAGGTCCCTGGCTGGCTCTGGGAAAGCACCTCCTGGCATCCAGAAGGGCCCGAACACATACCCCCTACCCACTGAGACTCCCAATCCCCACAGAAACGATGGCAGAACTTGAAGTTCGGACTGGACCCCCGGGATGACTACGAAGACGAAAATCTTTATGAGGTAAGTGGAGGGTGGGGCCAGGGGAGGAGCAGGTGCGTTGGGGGCCTCCTGGGGGGCCTCTGGGGGAGGGGCCCAGGCATCCGGACACTGAGAGGCCCACCACCCCGTGTGCACCCCAGGGCTTGAACCTCGACGACTGCTCCATGTACGAGGACATCTCGCGGGGCCTCCAGGGCACCTACCAGGACGTGGGCAGCCTCCACATCGGAGACGTCCAGCTGGAGAAGCCGTGACCAGCCCCTGTCTGCCATGCTCCCAGCGGCAGTGTCTCCCCGGCTCCCGGGGAACCAGCTCTTTCACCATCATTCCCGGGAGGGTCCTGCATCAACTTCCCCCTGGGGAGTGTCCGCTCCTCCTCCTTCCCCTCCCCGCCACCTTCCCCAAGCTCCCACCCACTCGCTGACCCCGCTGGTAATGAGCCTTAATCACTGCCTGCCTCTAGGGGACTGATTGTAGCAGCCTCCGTGTCACCTCCCCCTCCCTTGCTTTTGTCAAGGCCACTTAGTTATAATAAATGCTTCCCAATTGCAGACCTTGGCAGGAGTCATGGATCTCATGGGGACCACCCACCCTGCTCCCCTGGGACCCAGGAGTCCATGCCTCTAGTCCCCTCCTCCCCCTGTCCCAGGATTCTGCCCCACTCTTCCCCCTTTCACCCCTTTCCACTCCCCTCCCCCGCCTCTGCCTCTCCCACTACCTGAGAGCAGGGAGCCCATCTCGGCTGCCCCCCGAAAGGAACAGAAGTGTCTTGCAGGGGTCTCCACCCCAGGCATGTCTTCCCTGAGCAGGGTGGGGGGACAGGAGGGAATGGAGGTGACCACGGACGTTTATTTATGCACATTTAAGTCTCAGAATCACAGGGGACTGTCTGAATTCTCCTATGGCCATACCTGTTGTCTGGGAGTGGGCTGTGGCCGGGGATTTGGAGAGTCTGTGGCCCTGGCTTGGGGAAAGAGGGCAATGACAGAGGCACAGATAAGCAGTTTCTGAGGTAGAGGGGAGAAAGACACACAGAGAGTGAGAGAGACAGAGACAGAGCGAGTGAAGGACAAGGAATCGGAGAGGACATACTCGGAGCGACCGCAGAAAGAGAAGGAGGGAAAGGTCCTCAGAAAGACGGGCTGAGAGAGGAATCAACAGGTGGGGAAGGAGTCGGATGGCTCCGCAGAGACCCAGATGGGAAAGGGCTCGGAGGGAGAAAGTGACGGAGAGGGAGGGAACGGGCGGGGGGACCAGGACGGAGAGAGAGAGGCAGACACAGGGAGGGCGGACACGGAGAGGCAGACGGAAAGGGAGAGGCTGCAGCCGGGAGGGCACGGCGGACACCGGGCCCCGCAGATCCACGGCCGGACCGCAGGACGGGGCGGGGCGGGGCGCGGCGGGCGCGGCGGGGCGGGGCGGGCGGCGAGAAGGGGAAGGAAGCGGAGGTGCCGGGCGGGAGCGGGGCGCGGGCAGGAAGCGGGGAGGGGTGGCGGGGCGGGGGCCTCCGGAAAAAAGCCCCAACTTCCTGCCCCGCCGGAGCCTGGAAGCGGGAGCCGGGACTCCGGGCCGGGATCTCCGAGCCCGACCCGGGCGCCCGCCGGCCACCTCCCCGCGCGGACAGCAGGTACGGCCCGCGCCCGCCGGCTCCCCCCCGGCGGCGGGGAGGCGGGGGGAGGATGGCGGGGTGGGGCGCGGCCGGCGGCGGAGGGGCCTCCAGGGCGCCGCTGCTTCAGCGGCCGCCGCTCCCCGGGCCTCAGTTTTCCCACCTGTCAAAGGGACAAAACCAGGAGAGCGAATACCTGTCAAGGGCAATAGGCGGGGGAGAGGCGTGCGAGGCGGGGCCAAAGCCTCCCACTGCCCCGCGGAGGATGGAGGTCTCTCCCGCGGTACGGGTGGGGAAACTGAGGCCCGAGAGCCAGGAGCAGCGCCGACTCGCCCAGAGACAGGGGAGCTGGGCTTTAAACTCGCGGCGCTGCCCGCGCTAGGCGCCGCCTTCTGACCCGCTTGCTTCAGGACCCCGGGAGGAAAAAACACGACAGTTCACTACGTCTCAGGCCGCTGTGAAGCTGCCAGTTGCAGAAAGCTGTTTGCAAGCGGTTTTTTGGGGGGGAAAATTTTTTCTGGGCCACTCATTATAACCCGGGGAGCTGGGTTGTAGGAGGACGGAGCTGGCGGAATGCGCCCATTGCATAGATGGGAAGACTGAGGCTCGGGAAGAAGTCATTGCTTACTCCGGGTTACACTGCATGTACGTCCGAGGGAAAGGTCCCCTCGAACCCGGGGGTTTTTGCCTTCCCGATCAGCGGGAAGGGTGCGGGGTGGGGGTGGGGGTGGGGGTGGGATGCGGGGGAGAATTCATGTACAGGCGTTGGGAACGGAACTGATCTCCGAGTTAGGGAGGTGAGATAAGGGTGGGGAGCCCCGTCCGGGAGCCGGAGGGCCGAGGAGACCCTGAGATCTCAGACTGAGCCCTGGCGGCCGGGCTGGAACCCTCCTCACCTCCGGCCTGGGAGGAGGCGGGGCCCAGGGGAGTGACGGGAGCAGTCGAGACCCGGAAACGCCAGCCCTCCACGGCGGGCCAGAGCGGCCCCATCTGGCCAGCGTGGCGCAGCGGAGAGCTAGAGCGTCCGGCAGGAGGAATAGAGTCACCTGTCGGGCTAGAGCGGCTGGTGGGAGGAGTGGAGTGAGTTAGACTCAAAGGGGGCCTCGGAGGCGGCTAGAGCGGCTGGGGAGGGGAGCGGAGGGGTGGGGGACCGGGAGCCGGCGCGCGGAGGCTTCGGTCCTGGCAGCTGCGGTGACTTCTCCGACCCGGAGCAGGTGAGGGACGCGGCCCCCGCGAGCGTCAGACCCTGACTCCGCACGTCCGCCCCAGCATCCCTAGAAGTGCATTCCGCCACGTTCCCTGTGGGATTTGGGGCCCGTGTAGAGACCCGCCACGTCCCATATAGCTTTGGGGGCTCATGTAGACCCGCCACGTTCCATGCAGATATAAGATTCTACAGACGCCCCCCAAGTTTCTGCTAACCCCCTATGGTGACCCGGCTCCTTACAGACGTGGGGTCCCCAACTAGGGGACCAGTAGCATCCCCTAGAATCCAGGGCTCTATAGATCCTGGGTTTAGGGACCACCACAGGCCCCTAGAGAATTCTGGTCCCCTGTTAAATCTCCAGAGATCCCATAGACTAGCTACTTTCTCCAAGGTTTCATGGTCATGTGTGACCCACCATATGTCAGATGGAATCCCCTTGACTACTCTATTTTAGGTTCTACAAGACTCCCAGAGGTTCTTAGAGACCAGGATCATCCATTCATTATCTTACGGATTCTGAGCCCTGCAAAGAACCTAGGTGCCCATGCTGCCCCCGACATGTGCCAGCTTTGCTCTATGATCTCCACCCTGCTGGACCTCAGGCCTTGTCAGTTGCCTACTGATCCATTTGACAGCTTCAGCCTTTGTGGTAGCCCCTCATCCCCCCTGTCCCCTAAGCAGTCAACCCTCGCTCCCCCATCCTCCCTCAGCCCCAACCCTCTGTGGTACAGCAGCGTCCAGCCTGCATTCCTGCCAGGCCTCAGTGCCTACATATCCCTGACTTTCCCAGACCATAAAGAGACCTCATGTGTCTCGGCTTCGGTTCAGATTCTAGTTTCCTAAGGGTGGGGTTTCCCATTCTCTGAAGCAGCACTTTCTGGTAGTTAATCCATAAACTCTGAGGCCAGGCTGCCGGGCTGGGTCCCCGTCTATCCTCATGAGCTGTGTCTGAGTTTCCTCTGCAAAATGCGGGTGATGATAATGACCTCTGGGGGTCGCTGAGAGGATTAAGTTGGCTAATACCTATAAAGCAGTAATGCTGCCACTTAACGGCACTTAGTGCGCTTTAAGCCTTAGTCATTGTTTCATGGCTGTGGCAAGGAATAAAGGAGATAATATATGCCAAGTGCATGGCCCAGGGGCCTGCCTGGCATTCGCTCAGATAACCTGTGCTCTTTTCGAATCTCCCTGCTTCTGCTGAACCTGTCCACTCCTAAGTGGGACGAGCATGGACTCTCCATGTTCATGGTCATGTTTTCCAGCCCAGGAGTTGCAGCTGGCAGCCCAGTGAAGGTTTCCCACCTCCGGAGGGAGTAACGGTAGCATGGGCTGTTGTGGTTGTGAGGGCTGAGGTTCTGTGTGAGAAGCAGTCGGAGCAGTGCTGGCAGCCTGCTCGTGCTATGTGAGTTTAGCTCTCAAGATAAATAATTATTATTTTTTTCTGCCTTGGTTTGCAACTTTATTTATGTGAACGTTTAACAGTGCTCAGATCTTAAATTACTCAACTGTGGATGTTGGACACCTACCCTTTATGGAAAAGAATAGAAATGATGCCTGCTCGGGTGAACCCGGGGGGTGGCATTTGGACACTCGAGGAAGCATCCCTGTTTAATGATCATAATCAAAATCATAGCTACCATTTGTTGAGTGGCAGGGAGGAGGCCTATGGAAGAGGGGGAAGGGTGGGTCTCAGGCAACTAGGGTTATAAATAGCTCTGGGCTGTGGGGAGAAGTATCCCACACACACACTGGTCCACCCCACTCTTGTTTCCACAGCCCTTCCTGTCTGACATGAGCTCTTGTGACATTAGTCAGATTAATTAAGGACACAGAAGATATCGGTGGAAAGACACAGGGAGAAGTGGAGACTCTAAGGGAGATGACATGGGAAGAAGATAGATGGGCCCTGACTGGTTTGGCTCAGTGGATAGAGCGTTGGCCTGTGGACTGAGGGGTCCCGGGTTTGATTCCGATCAGGGGCATGTACCTTGGTTGTGGGTACATTCCCAGTGGCGGGGTGTGCAGGAGGCAGCTGATTGATGTTTCTCTCTCATCGATGTTTCTAACTCTCTATCCCTACCCCTTCCTCTCTGTAAAAGTAAATAAAATATGTTTAAAAAAAAAAAGAAGAGTTATGAAACATTGACTCAGAGAAGTGCAGGGTCAGTGGCTACAGAACCCAATGTGGGGAGACAGAGGCAGTGAAAGATGAGGAGGAAAGCAGAGAGCAATAGAAGCAGGATGGGGTCCAGGAGAGACAGAGAGGGGGTGTGGGGGGGATGAGACAGGTCTTGGGGGGAGGGAGAGAGAAAATGAGGAAGAGAGGCAAAGATGAGGTAGATTCAAGAGAGATACAGCCCGGGAGTGCAGTCTGGAGAAAGGAGAGCCAGCAAGACAGATGGACATAGGCGAAGGAGACAGACACACCTTGGGGATGAGCTGTCTGAGGACTGTTCCTTGTTTTTCTGGGACTGGAGGCCAGAATATGTATCAGATCCTCGAGGGAAAGAACTCTTGGGTTGGGGTTCAGAGTTTGTTTTCTTATGCGGGGAGAGGTGGGGGTTGAGGGGTTTGCCATTGTGACTTCCTGTCACAGGAAGTGGGGCTGGTGGGTTCAGAGGCAACATCCTGCCCCAAGCCTGTCACAGATCAGAAGAGAGCCCCCCCACACCCCATTTATATACCTCCTACCTCCCCTTTAACCTCCCCAACTCTGCTGGCCTCCCCGCCCTGCCTCC